AACCCCAACAAAAATATTTTACATTTTACGGTATTTGCTATAGTATAGGGCGAACTTGTCACCCATATATTACTAATTAACGGACCCATGTTTGTGGATCTTAGGGGTCGAATTGTTTATTAATTTTTGTGAAACCCGTCAGCTCACGTGATGAGTTCCATTAAAATATATTATTGTTTTATAAATTAATTAAAATAATATATTTTTTTATATAAAAAGAGGAACTCGTCAAGTGAGGGTGAAGAGTTCCTTTTGAGTTTGAAAAGAGTAGTTACTTATTGAATGTTGGGCAACAAACAAGCGAGTTCTAATAATCATCAACGGTTAGTCCATTGGAACTTATCACCCCAAGGTAATGAGTTCTAATGGACTAGACATTTATGGTTGTTGGATTTTTTTTATAAATTGGGGTTTTGAGGTTTAAGATTTGTATTTTATTTATTGAGGAGAAAAATTTTGAATTAGACAAATTTTATTGAATTAAGGTTTTGATATAACAATAATTTGTAAAATTGATTTTGGACTTGATTGAATTTATCAAAAATAATTGAAAGTCTAAATTAACTTGAAAAATATGTTTTAAATGTTTTTGAACTTAGTCGAACTTTTTCAAAAATATACTCGATCATTTCTACGTTTTAAAGTCGAGTTTTCAAGCATTTTTTGCTCAAAGGATCGATCCCCTTGTTAAAGGATTGATCCCTTGGATTCCAATATGTTTAGGATCGATCCCTTCACTAAAAAAGATTGATCCCTCGATGAAAAGGGTCAATCAATTCCCTTAAAGGATTGATCATTTTCTTAAAACAGTCAAATTATTTGAAAACAAGATCGATCCTTTTCACCAAAGGATTGATCCATTGTGCATTAAATGTGGTTTTGGTTGTAGGTAACGACTATAATGATCCCCAACGGCTTTAAACGATTAGAATTAATGAAGAAGGTATAAATTGAAGGTCAAAGTTTCCCAATGTCAACTAGAATCATATTGAACCAACCTACCAACTACAAAGTGTTCTTTTGTGATTAATTTGTTAAATTTCTTGTTGTAAACACACTTGTGAGCTACATTGTTTATTTTTCTCAAGTGTGTATTGGGTGAGTGCTTAATTTGTTCAAACATATTTGCCTTGTAAGGGTTTCTCTTTTGTTTGCTAAATTTGTATTTACTCTTTGGGAGAGTGTGTAATTAAGGTTTTGGGGTATAAACCTTGAAGTGTTTGTAAGGTTACACCTTATCCTCAAAGGTTAGCAAATCTAGTGGATTTGAGAAATCCTTAGTGTAGATGCTAAGGTAGTGGATATTGACTTTGGTTTAGAAAGTTGAATCACTCTAAATCATTGTGCAAATCTTTTTATTTTTTGGTTGCTTTCCCACAAAAATTTTTAAGGCCAATTCACCCCTATCTTAGCGGTTTCTGGTTGATCGATAAAGCTAACAAATTTTATTATTTTTTGAAGATTTTGTAGTAAAATATCTACACGAGAAGAAATGTTATATTCTCGCTTGAACTCAGTCTGGTAAATTTATATTCTTCTAATTTTATAAAATTTCAAACTATTATTGATGTTGGACATTTGAAAATTTTATTAATTGTTTGAAATTTAAATTATAAGAAGAAGAACGGAACATTCGTCACTGAAGAATGAATAGTGATGAGCCACATGATTGGATTTCTATTTATCTACAAAAATCTTGATTTTATCCTACATTTTTCTTTTTGGTTTTAGGGTGATATCTGCAATGATTTCAACATTGACTAAAAGTTGAAGACCCAAAACTCACACATTTCATTTTCCTAGCGGTGAAGCGATGCTTATTTTAGAAGATGTGACTTATCAACTCGGTTTTCTGATTAATGGTGTGACATTGGTAAAATGTAACAATTATAACTGAGACTCGATTTGCAAGCGATTTTTGGGAAATGTGCCACTAAAAGATGTCACAAAAGGGTTACTTATAGAATAACGTGGTTGGAGAGTGAATTTAAAGTTGATGAACATCCTACCGAGCAAGTGGTCATTTTTTTTCAACCCGATCATATCTTCTCCAATTGATTGGAGGGATATTGTTACCGAATAAATCCTAATATTTGGTGTGTACTCAGTATCTTCCGTTTATGGAAAATTTTAACGAGTCTCGTAAATATAATTGGGATTATACAATTTTGATGTTTTTAAATCATAAATCTTGCAAGGCTACAATCATGATGACAAGGAGTAAAAAAAAACAGATATAATAGGTTGTCTAGTCCTATTATAATTGTGGGCATGGTATCAGTTTCTGTTTTTGATTTTGGCAATTTTTTAAATTATATTTTAGTAAATTTATATTATTAATATGTTTAGAAATTTTAAATCAATAATGGAGTTGTTAATTTATATTTATTATGTTGTGTATATGGCAACAAAGAATTGATGATACAAAGTTAACAGGTGCATCGAAAATAGATGCACGAATGGGAATTAATATCACAAGTAGATATACGGTAAATATTCTAATTTTTTGTATAACTTTTAAATTGAGATAATTTATTTCTATTTATATTAATGTAGTATGTTTGTTTACAGTTTAATTGGATTTCGTATTATGAGTCGGAGATCTAACAGTGTCTACCACCATTATTTTTTTAAGAAGTTGAGATGTGGTATGTCGTAACGTTATTGCTTCATTTCATCATTGTCGAGATCCATGTCACTGATAGAGTGTTGTGGCAGTTTGGGTCTCATCAGCTCATTCTAACACAACTATTTAACATGGACAAACTCCAAAAAAATGATACACGTGGGAAGCATAAAGATGATTGGCCAAAGAAGCATGTTGCATATATCTAGACTTAGAATGATAGGTATTTATATGTGCCCATTTGTTCTTATTTGGTACCAAATGATCTTGATTTCACAAGATCGCTCTACCTCCAAAACTATGAAGCAAATGGGAAACTATATTTAACAACATCGGAAGATAGGGTTGAATGAGAACAAATGAAGGTAAAATATAGAAAGGCCAAAAAATTATCATCATCATTTTCTTCTTCTTATTCTTCTTCAGTTTATTCAGTATCTTGATAACTCTCCAAAAGAGTTATATTTTATATCATTTTTACTTAGGTTAAGTTTGCACTCTAGCATTTTTAGGATCATATTTAGATTTATTTTAGCATATTTTATATCATTTGTACATTGGGAATGAATTGTTGGTACTTAGACTGATTTTAATGTTTCTGCTGCAAAACTAATGTTGTGGCATTGTTAATGCTATAGTCGTTGCTGAGTGTTGATGCTGGATTGGATTGTCGAGATTATGCGACAACATTACTGAGTCACCAGGCAGCTTGAGAAATTTTAAGAATTGACAGTTGTTCACAACTACTACGAGATAAGGGTTGGGATTTGAATTTTAAAAAGGAATTATCATAAAAAGAGATTTTCCTATTGGTGGAAAGTTTGACTTTGATGGACTATAAATACAACATTTTTTTACATACTTTGACATTCAAAAAAACCCTAACTACCTCCTATTTTCTATCCTACCATCTATGGCAGCCTAAACAATTTATTGGGGAGTGCAGCAACAGTTGTGGAGCACTGTTGTGCAGTAGCGTCGATAAAGTGGAGTCTTTCTTTATTTTCGTCTCTTTGTTGAGATAGGGAATTGAAGATTATTTAGTTGAATAATTATGTAACTCTAGATGTTATTTGGTTTTTAAACATAAGGTGTTTGATTAAATGTCTATTGTTATGTTTTATGTTTAAACTTTGTTTTTTATGTTGTTGTGCTTATGGGAAGACTTTAAAAATAAATTTATCTTTATGTATGTGATTTTTATAATTTTTAGAAATAAAAGTTGTAAAAAGCAAAGTTAGTATATAGAATTGTATGTTGCCAAGTGTCCAACATTGTTAATTATTTGATTAAATTGAATTAATGAAGGTTGATTCTTGTTAATTGAATAATGTTAATCATTGTAAGACACATGAATGTAATGTTTTAAGCATAATCATAGTGAGAACTGCTAAATAACACACACATCTATTAAATCTTTGATTTGTTACTCTCTTGAATGTTGTTGCACTGCCCTACACTTACCATTCAGATTTTTATACTTTGTTGTCTATTTCTTATTCCATTCTTCAACCATACATCCTTTGAATTCTTTCACACAACTCTATTGTAATTTGTTTTGCTCTCTGTGGGTTTGACATCCGAAGGTTTATAGCTTACACTTTATTACTTGGATATGATAGTGTATGCTTGCACTTTGCTGTAGCATTATCGTATCATCAAGTTTTTGGTGTCTTTGTCGAGGATAAATTGTTTTACTTTAGAGTTGTTTATTTGTTTATTAACTTTGTTTATTTTCTTTTTGTAGGTACTTATTTTTTTTTCTTTTTCTTCTAGTATAGTGTTGTTGATGTATGACTCGTAGCAACAATCAAGACCTAGAGCCTTTTGATCATGAAATCGAATATACATTACGTGAACGTCGTAGACAAGAAGCCCATAATCAAGCAAACATGGCCTAACATGGTTATGGTAACAATGTTTTGCCACCAGTGCCAAATGGTGAGGAAGAATTGTTGGCTGACAATGAAATTTACCAACCGCATTATTACAACATTGGTGACGCAATAGATCGATCAGGGATCACTTTGTGCCAACACTTGATGACTTAAATTCTGGCATCGTTCGACCTTCCATCCATGCTACCTACTTTGAGCTGAAGCTGGTGATGTTTCGGATGATGCAGTCAATAGGGTAGTATAGCGATTCTCTTGCTGAAGACCCTATAGCATACCTTAGAGCATTCATGGAGGTGTGTGACTCATTTATATAACAAAGAGTACTTGAAGAAGCCTTGAAGCTGAAGTTATTCCCCTACTCGGTCTATGATAAAGTTAAAGCATGACTTAACTCGCTGTCGCCTAGTGCTATAGCATTATGGAATGAGTTAGCATAAAAATTCTGGTTTCGTTTCAATCCACCCAACATGAATGCCAAGATGAGGAATAATCTCACATCATTCAAGCAATTTGAGGACGAGAACCAATATGAAGCTTGGGAGAGTTTCAAAGACTTGTTTCACAAATGCTTGATGCATGGATTTTTACATTGGAGGCAAATGTAAATGTTTCACAATGGATTGAATATGAAAACACACATGGTTGTTGATGCTTCTTGCAATGGAACATTTTTTTTATAAAACTTACAATGAAGCTTATGACATTTTGGAAAGGATATATAACAATGATTATCAATACCCTAATATGATGAGTTACATATTCAAAGATTTGTTTCTTATAGAAATTTGATGCCATCTTTTAAAGCTTTTATAGTCAACTTAGATAAGGTGTAAATTCTAGCAACCATTGAAGAGGCTCTACAAGATCCTAAATGGAAGAAAGTTGTCAAGTAAGAAATAAGAGCACTAGAAAACAATGATACATGAGCCTTGGCAAATTTACCACAATGAAAGAATCACACTGACTACAAATGGGTGTTTACAGTTAACTATAACTCGGATGACATCATTGAAATGTACAAATCTAGGCTTGTGACTAAAGGTTCTACTCAAATATATGGAATCAACTATAAGGAGACTTTTGCACCAATAACTAAGCTTAACATAGTGAGAGTTCTACCCAACTTGATAATTAATAAAGATTGGAATCTTTATCAAGTAGAGATAAAAAATACCTTCTTGAATGGGTGCTTAGAAGAAGAGGTGTACATGAAGGTTCTTTTAGTTTTGAAGACTGTTTTAGGGGCTCGCAAGGTATATAAATTGAGAAAGTCTCTCTATGCCCTAAAGCAATCTGCAAGGGCCTGATTTGAAAGATTTGCTAAGGTTATGAGATGGTTATAAGAAATGTCAGGAAGATCATACATTGTTCATTAAAATTGCACCTAATCAATAAAGGGTTATTTTAATTGTGTATGTTGATCACATTGTGGTTACTGATGATAATGTTAGTGAGATTGACAGGTTCAAAGGGCTTCTAAATAATGGATTTGAAATCAAAGACTTGAAAAAGTTGAGATATTTCATAGGGTTTTTTCCCTGAAACCGAGATACTAAGATAATGGGATGCAAGCATGTTGAAACCCAATAGAAACAAACTTGAAGTTTAAGGAAGAGGACATGAGACCACCAGTGAACAAATGAGCAATTTCAAATGTTGGTTGGAAAGTTAATATACTTGTCATTAACTCAAACGGATATATCTTTCCTATTAATGTTGTTAGCCAACACATGTCAGATCCTAGAGAAGAGCATGTTGAGGTCGTCTATAGAATCCTATAGTATTTGAAATTAACCCCTAGTCATGGTATAATTTTTAGAAAATCTGAAGATAGAACAGTAAAGGTCTTCACAGATACAAGTTAGGCTAGGGAGTTAACTAGAATAAGGTCCACCAGTGATTACTATATGTTTGTGTGGGAAAATTTGGTAACATGGAGAAGCAAGAAACAATATCTTATTTCTAGGACTAGTACTGAAGACGAATATATGGCTTTAGCAATTGGAATGTGCGAGGGAATGTGGCCGTTAAGGCTACTTAAGGAGTTGGAGTTAAGTCAGGATGAAAAATTTTAGATTTTGACCGACAATCAAGCTTTTATCATGATTGCTAAGAATCATGTTCATCAGGATAAAACTAAACATGTGAAAATTGATAGGCATTTTATCTCATAAAAGGTTAATGGTAAAATTGTGGATCTATCTTATATTTCTACCAAGGAAAAGCTAGTTGATGTGCTTACTAAAGCACTGCCAAGAGTAACTTTTGATGAATTTACATTCAAGCTGAGATTATACAATGTATACTCACTAGCTTGAGGGGAATGTGAGTTGTAAATAAGATAAGGTTGTTAGAGTTTGTTATTTTCTGTAGATAAATCTAATTATTTTAAATTATCCTTATCCTTTGTTTAAAAGATTAAGATTTGTATAGTTATAGGAATCTTTTTAAGAGTAAAATTATTTGTACTGAAGTCTATTTAAAGACTCATTCTTGTAGAATTTTAATGATATAATACAAAAAAATGTTTTCATTAGATTCAATAGTATATAAACACATCTTGATAATTTTTGTTGCACAAGACGATGATATAAACATTTTTTTTCATTATCTTCACTATTGTTAAAAATTAATCAAAAAAAATTGAAATTTCTTTATCTCTTATCACGTTCTCATGTTATTACTCAATATGGAGTTTGCATAATATCATACCCAACCCAGGCTGCTCTTTCCCTTTTTATTATCTCTAGTTTTTAATCATATTTCATTCCTCCAGTCCAGACCCACCAAACAATTTAAAGCTAATTAATTTTAGCCTCAACACTTAACGCCCCATTTCTCTCTGCCCACAATTCATCACTTTCCTTGCTTTCAACACTTTTAAGTTTAAAACTCTGGTTGGACCCAAGACCAGGACTCTCTCATTTTCAATGCAAGGAGGCGTTGTTAATGGCGGTTCTGAAAGTGGGTCCATGTCCACCGTGTTAAGGGAGGATAACATGGTGGTCTCCTCTGAAGATTCTTCGTGCCCAGATGAGTATGAATTGGAATTGGGTCTTGGCCTCAGCCTCGGTGGTGGTGGTTCTAAGATGCACCAGGTTTCAAAGTGTGGTCAATATGCTAGGATTTTGACTGCTCAAGATTTTCCCCCTTCGTCTCCTTCCCCATCATCATCGTCTTCGTCATCTTCGTTTTCTTTAACTAGAGCTAATATCACGGCCGGGACCAAGAGGACTGCTGATTCCGTGGCTGCTGCTAATGGATCTAGGTATGCTTTAGTTTTACCCTGATTTCATGATTCATAGTTGAGTTCATAAGGGATGGTCTCATCAGATACTGGATTGTTTTACAACGAATACGAGATCAGGGGAAAGAGAATTAGGAAGGAAAAGAAAAGAAAGCTAGTATTATCCAATTAGGCTAAACATAGTTCTTGTACGATTTGTTCATTTATGAAGGGGTTGCCAAAGGGAAACAACTTAAAGAGTTAGGTTGTTTGATGATTATATGTGAAATTGGGGTGGTTCCATTCTCGTTGAGATGGATCATGTTTGTTGCAAACAAACTGTTTTTAGCTTATATTGTTAATAATCCTATCGGTGTTTGATTTTTCTTTCTGAAACATTTTTTTGACATGGTGTAGGAAACGGTCCTTTAAGAACCCTAAATACATGGGAAAAGTGTTAAAATGTCGAAAATATTCGTATTGTACTTAAGTCTGAGCTAGCTATTTAGTGTTTCTTCTTAATTTCAAGATATAAATGCTGATAGATCTAAGGTGTCGTGATCTTGAATTCCAAATTCGGTATAGGCTCTGCTTGTTGATCCGATAACTGGCATAAATACATGGTTTAATCACTGAATGACTTTTACGGTTGATAAGACAGTCTTAAATATAAAAATGATAAGTATATTAAAAATTGGGGAAAGTAATAAAGTGGATCTTAATCGTCTTTTAAACTTGGTAAGTTAGAAAATAGGTGATTGTCGGATTCCTGAGTTCTTGAACCAAATTGTAAATATCGTAACCTACACGTGTGGTGCCATATTAAGTGGGCTCCATCCAAATTGTGGCAATATCCATGCCATCGAGACAGTTTAATTTGTAAACATTATTCTATGGTTTCAGTACCTCGTTAGTAGCTCATAACTTATCTTTCTATTAACATACTATTGAGTTCTGGTGCTTGAACTGTTGATTTTGTTTGAGCTCAAAACAGTCAAGTCGTGGGGTGGCCTCCTATCAGAGCTTATAGAATGAATAGCTTGGTTAATCAAGCAAAAGCATCGGTCACAGAAGGATTTAACTTGTCAATGGAGAACCGTAAAGAGGAGACCTTGATGGTTGAGAACAGCACCACTGGCAGCTACCATAACAGTGGTAATACTAAGCTCGGGAAATTTCTATTTGTGAAGGTGAATATGGATGGAATTCCGATTGGAAGGAAGGTCGATCTGAATGCCCATGAATCATATGAAAAGTTAGCAAAAACGTTGGAAGAAATGTTCCTTGAAACCACCCCAAGTGTCAATTCAGCAGGTGAGCTTTCCTAATTTATTTTGTTTTGACTTTGAGAAGACTAGTTAAGTGATCGTTTAAGCACCGACCATGCGCAAGCCTGAGGATGTAATGATTTTCAAGCATTGTGTCAAAATAGGATATGTTAAACCAGGAACATTGTAGACTTTAAATTAAGTAAATGTTAAACCTAATGGAATTGTAGGAGCTGAGATTTAAAAGGCTTTTGAATTCCACTTTAGAAGAATGAACTATGATTTTTCTACTAGATGATCTTTGAATTATGTCTCTCTTACGATTGTTTGTCATGATTTTTGCAATTAGGATCAATGGCGCTGCAACGTGATATGAAAAACAAAATGGCAAGGCCTTCGAAACTGCTAAATGGATCATCTGATTTTGTGCTTGCTTACGAGGACAAGGAGGGTGACTGGATGCTTGTCGGAGATGTTCCTTGGGAGTAAGTATAATTTTGATTATGCATCTCACTTTATGTATTTGTTTCTATGGTCTCAATCAATGGCGTTGAAGTTCCTTTCTTAATGCCTGGACTGAACCAAAATGTGGGATCCTTGTTCCACCTATTTTCTACTGTCGATTAGTTCAGGCATTAATTCAGGATGTTAATGTTCTCTCCGGTGCCCTTGAACTTGCTTTAGGCATAGAAAGAGTACATCATCTCCTTGGCACTCGTCGTTAATGTTCTCGGAATTGATTCAGGATGTTCAGTAGTTCGGTGAAGAGGCTTAGAATCATGAGGAAATCTGAGGCCACCGGATTAGGTAAGTATGCTTATTCATATTCGTATTCTCTTCTGACCGTGTTAAGCATGCTTTTTCCATTCAAATAGCTAACTTTAATTTGTAATTTACAGCTCCAACATCACAAGAAAGGAACCAAAGGCAAAGAAGAAAGGCCATATAGAATGTGATTCTCTCAAATCCCTCATCAGTATAAGATGAATAGGGAATCCCTTGCAAAATACAAAGCAAAGCAAAGGAAAATAAATACAGGAAAGTTAGAGCAGTGTGAAAATCCCTGGTTGTGTGCCCTTTTGTTTCCATCATTACATGTTTGTGTTTCAATCTCAATGGTGGCCATATATATTTAGTTTTCAATACAACGTTAATACAAAATAATACCCGGTTAGTGATGTTCTTTTACTTGTGTCTGTAAATAAAAAAGAGGAATGTTTTTACTATACTAACCTCATTAATGCTTTTACGGTTAACATCAACATATGACATTTTTTCAAAATATAAACTATTAAAATTAACTGCCAATATTGATAAAAAGAATTCTATATATATATATATATATTTACGGTGTAGACCTTTGTCGGTTCCATATATATACCTGCCAACATTTGCATAATGTAAAGATTTAATGCACTTGACTACAAATGTATAAACCGAGGTTCATGTGCATGAGATAGAAATAACAAAATGACACTTTTAGAGACGACCCCCCAAAAAGAGACCCTGGATAATCGGTATGTATATGAGGATTCATTTTCTACCCTAGACCTCACCTACGGAAGAATGAGATTTGGAGTCTGGAGACCGGATGCTGGACCAACTATGTACAGAAAGCGGGTTACCATATGGCTGCCCGAAATGCCAAACATGATTAATAAATTTACATGCAAGGCATATAAGCATACCTGTGTGTTCTCGCTACCACTGGCAATAAACATGCTATTGATCCCACCAAAGCAGGACCGTATGACATACTTGTTTTGCTTGTGTCCTGTATACTTTAAAGGCTTTGCCCGTTTTCCGGCAACATCCCGCAAATGTATCTCTTGGCTATTCAGGTTGACAATAAAGAACTTACTGTCCATGGAAACTGAAAGAGATGTGATTGAATGCTCCTCTAAGATAACTTGTTCAGCATTTGTCCTCAAGTTTAATATCCGGATTTCTTTGTCGGAGAATATGCCGATAAGGTTTTCACCATCTGATGTAACAGCAAGATCCAAAACCTTGGGCATGCGCATGCCCCTCCATGCTTTCATCTCAGGATCAGAGTCCCACATGCAGATGCCTTTTTCAGGGTCAGAACTCCAACAAACGATTCTCTTTGAGTCGGGAAACCAAGCACATGAGTTGACCGTGAAGCCATGGTCCCCAAATGTATGCTTGCAAGTGCCTGTTTCTACATCCCAAAGCTTGAGAACTTCCAAGTTTCCACATGTGAGCAACTTTGTGTCATCCAGGCTCCAAGCCACAAAGGACACGGGGTTCTGATGGCTTCGGAGTCTGTGTTTCATTGTCAGCTTATCATTATCCATAACCTAAGAAATTTAGGGAGACAAAAAAAATCAAGTCAAACACTTCAAAAGGAAACTCAAGAGATCAAGACCAGAAATTAGGTACCTGTAAAATTAATATAACATGTACATAGAGACTGAAGACCATGGTCAGCATATATAGTGAGTTAAGAGACATTTCTTAAAAGATTGATGCTCCCTTTAAGTGGAAATATCAAATAGAATTGACTTAATTTTAAAGAACTAAAAGCAAAACAGAACATGATATGATAAAGAGAACAAACATCAACAATATCAAACTGATAGATTTCATTTCATTTAATTCAAGTTTGGCAAAGAGACATTCAGGAACGAACTCCATACAGTCATACACCCCTACATGAAAATGCTCATTTCCTGTTTGTTTCAGTTTTTCAAATAACAACGAACTAGAACTTATTTGCAACCCCCTCAAGATCAAAGCAAAACATGGAAAAGGGAGGCATTACGAGTTAGACGCACCCCTAGGCACTATATGTAACTCCTATCATGCTATTCTAATTTTATCATATCTCACTGCAACACAACAAAAACAATAGTTCAAATCTTCAAGATAAAACAGCAGAGATACATGCATGCAAATATTCATTAAATAAAGTGTGCATCCGTCCAAATGCATAAGCAAAAAGAATGTCATACCTTCCATATAATAGCTGTACAGTCACTTGAAGAAGAGGCTAAGTACTCTCCATTATTTGAAAATTGTATAAACCAAACTTCATTGCTATGCGCAGTCAAAATCTGCAGACATAAGAAATAAAAGGGGCCATGATTCAGCTCAAACATTCAAAATAACAAGCCAGAACTAGGCAGTCGAAGGAACTTGTTTCACAATGTATAAATCAGCCCAAAGGGGAAGGAACTTGTTAAACATTCTCATCCTAAGTTGGGAGAAATCATCTTGAAGAAAGATCATAAATAACACTGTATTCTCAAATAAATATATCAGTTGTTAAACTGAGAATTTAGAAGATATTTTTGTGAAAGGCACTACACGGAAGTCATTTAAAAAAAAAGACCACAGAAATATATTTATTATAAGCTTTCAACTAAAGAGTGATTTGACTTTCTAATTTCATAAAGTTGCATGGCTCATTGGTTTTATCACTCTGCCCCAAGCGACCATAATTTGAAATTCTAGAACCACAGAGACATAACGCTTTGACTCCCTTCAGGTCAGCCGAAGTATAATAACATGAATTGACAGGAAGTTGTACTCATAATGTAGTTTATATATGAATTTACAAGATAAAAATATAAAGGACTGTGTTTGTTCCTTTAAGGTGTAAGCAAGTTTCGCAACATGATGAGGGCAGTTATTTTGGTTGTCCCAGTATTACAATAAGAACAATAATAGCGATAAGCACCAACACAAGTACACAACAATCTAAGCATTTCGACCAAACAAGTTAGTTGTATAATTCATATTGCAATATTATGCTCTTTGGCTTCTCTTTGTTGCTCCAGTATACCATGAATATAAAATAAAAATAAAAAACCATTTAAATTTCTTATTCGGTTCAACACAATAGACGGAAATCTTGACAAACTGTTTCCACCACACCTCATAGAAGACAAGCAAATATGGTCTTGATATGTGGGTTCAAATTAACAAAGAAAAAAAATAAACAAGTTATGATAACGTGTAAATTCATCAACACCATGGTTTAATACCAAGAGCAGTGAATGAAGAATACATAATATTCAAAAGCTAATCCCTAAATCATCCAATTATCAAATAGGTTCAAATTTTGAAGTAGCATTAAGATGGAAGCAACAGGCTGAATAGCCATTCAAAGAAGCTTTATTTTAGCATTTAGGAGACTGGCCTCTAGTATTTGTTCCACCAAATCATAAGCTTATTGTTGTAGCATTATCAAATATGTAGATAGTAAAGATGAACAGAAAACACCATATTACATATCCAAAATGAAGCATTGTGTCCATAACTCTGCATCCTCTTTTTTCTTCATTTTTTGGAACAGTAAACAGAACCTATGATTCATAGTACAAATAATAGTATTGACTGCAACAAGAAGCATACCTGAACAGTTTCTGTAGGTATCTGATCTCTGCCACAGCAATGATCCTCATAAAGAGAAACTGCATCTCGGGAATTATGATATATACATGAATCAATTTGAGCTGTTACGCTAGTTTCAACCAGATGTTCTAACCGTCTCTCAGGCAATACAATTGGAGGAGGAAGCTGTTTCCTTGGTTCTATAACTAACCTTTTTCGCAGTTCACTAATAACATCTTCATCTAGCTTACCCATCTCTTTGAATGACAGTATAGTCATAACCATTTTTTTAAAACAATTATTAAGTTTTAAAAAAATAATTATAACTTTTATTTGAAAAATTGGGATTTTTGAATTAATTTAGATGGAATTGAATAGGAGTTGCCATCGACCTTTAGGTTAGATAGGCGGAATAATTAAAAATATCTTTTAAAATAATTTAAAAAAAAATCGTTTTTAGACAAAAATCGGTGTGCGTTATAAAAGATTCAATTTAATAGGTCCAGGAGTCAATTACGCGTGGGAAATGATGAACACCCCACAACGCCCAAAATTGGTACTTAGTCGCTTATCTGTCTTCGTAAATGGTGGAACTTAAAATTCGAATCTAAAGTAAAATTATGATCTATTTAGTGAATATTAATTGAATTACTCTGAATTGATTAATTAAAGAAATTTCTTTAACTTGATAAGAAATCTCGAGATTCGCAATCATCCGTTGGAAAAACTATTTCATCTATTTCTTATCCGTAAAGAATATTTTATCTTCTAATTAGTTAAACATTAAAATAATATTGAAATTTTGCATAATTTTTTTATGTTTTACTGCAATTGAAAACATACATCATCAAATATTAAGAGTAAATAAAATAGAATAAAAATAAAATGAAATATTATAATAATAAAATAAAAAGTATTATTATCATTTAATAAAATGTACGATTCACTTCAAGTTTACTCATCGTTTGAATATTGTATTGAATCGCACTACCTCTGTAAGGTGGTACTCTTCACACCCATTCTATGACGAGTGTTCTTGGGTATCCGAATGAAACCAGCAATACAAATTGATATCATTAATAAGAACGATATAGAAACATACAGTCAAATAGATACTTTAATAAACTATAATAACATAAATAAATCTAATATTATACTTAGATATATGAAGGTTAAAGAACATTTAATAAAACATGTGTACATAAAATAAAACATTTATTATTTACAAACAACATAATCATGTACAGGAATCAAACTAACCATTTCTCATCAACCCATTTCTTAATCGACTAATAAAATAAATTAAACTAAATAACCAAAGGACTTAATTAGAAAAAAAAAAACCAAAGTAACGTGGGGTTAATTCATAAAGTTTTGCGCACACAAAAAAACAAAATCAGAGATTAAATCTTAAAAGGGTAAAGTATAGTAATGGTCAGTGAACTTTTCTAAAGCTTTTATTTAGGTCCCTCAACATTTAAAACTTATAATACAGTCCCACAACATTTAATACGTTTGCAATACAATCTCCCAACATTTAGTCCGTTTGCAATATGGTCCCTGACGTAACCGACCGTTTGACGCCGTTACACTGCCGTTAGTATGTTTGCAATATGGTCACTGAACTTTTCAAGCGCTTGCATTTAGGTCCCCCAACTTTTAAAACTCGCAACACAATCTTTAATTTCATTCTAAACCCCAAATTCCTTTTCGATCTCGAATTTCTTTTTTCGCTTCTCTCTTCTCATTTCTAGTGTAACTTTTCAGTCGGGGATGCATGGAAATTCTAATCTAACTTTGAATTATGTGGAGGTGTTGACTTGAATAAGGGTCCATTGAGAGAAGAACCGACCAAGGGACTGTCGGGACCATCAACGATTCAAGGTTTAATATTAGATACATGTCATCTTATGTGAAGAATAGATGTTCGATGAAATGCTTGTGAGAAAAAATGGGTTAGAAATGCAAAGTTGACAAATACTACTAAGATTATTGTTGAAAGTCACTAACAAAGTTAGAATTATTTTGTATAAATGGCATATAATAATTTCTTCGTTTAATCCTTGTGATTAAAGATTTTCCAACAAATGATCAAATATAATGAAATCCCAAACAGCGCATTCACCTCTCAGTTTCTTTCGCAACTTGAAAGGCATCATGATAGGGTCAAGTAGCTGCTCCAAATATAATATCTTGTCATGATACCTTTCGAGTTGTTTGCATGTGAAATTGTCTTCTAAAGCTATAATTCAATACAATTCAACTGTAAAATTTCCAAAACATGTAAAAAAATCTAATTCGTTCACGATATATTAGTCCCATAATCAACATGAACTTATTAAAAAGAATACCAGCTCACACGAAGCCGAAAACCACAAGCTGGATCAATACAATTCCCAGTAAACTAGTACCGGCAGTCTCTCAGATTGAGCCTAGCGATTTCACTATGTCGATACTCACAACCAATTCCTTGATTTAAAGAAAAAACAAACAAGAAGATAAAAAAAAATTTAGCCTAAGACCCTATTTCACTTCTATTCTGATAGACTGAATATCTTTCATAAGGAGAACTAAAAGTTTTGATTAAGAAGAAAGAAAGAAAATTAGATGGTTTTGGTTCAAAACTAACACTGAATATCTAGATCATTGACATACGGTTCCAGAAACATAAAAAATTCAACAAAAAACACACAATACGAGCTGAAAATGGAAAGGTGCGAAAGAGAAAAAGCTTACTTCCAGATAGCCCAAAAGAGAAAATAAATACCTTCTTGCAAGTGAGGGGAGAGGCTAAGAAATAAACGCAATCGGTGTTGCGTTCCAACAATTCTTCCTCCATTTTTTCTTTGTAAATAAAAAGCTGAAAGATAAAGCACTATTTGGGTTTACAATTTTACATGGCGGAAAATTGAAAAACAAAAACCAAACGAGAGTGCATGTGAGCAAAAAAGACTGAGAGGTGAATGTGTTGTTTGGGATTTCATTATATTTGATCATCTGTTGGAAAATCTTTAACCACAAGGATTAAACGAAGAAATTATTATATGTAATTTATACAAAATAATTACAGCTTTATTGGTGACTTTCAACAATGATACTTAGTTCATCTTAGTAGTATTTGTCAACTCTGCATTTCTAACCCATTTTTTTCTCACAAGCATTTCATCGAACATTTATGTTTCACCTGAGATGATATGTATCTAACATTACACCGTGAATCGTTGATGGTCCCGATAGTCCCTTGGTTGAGTCTTCTCTCAATGGACCCTTATTCAAGTCAACACCTCCACATAATTCAAAGTTATATTAGAATTTCTCAGGCATACCTGACTGAAAAGTTACGTTGGAAATGAGAAGAGAGAATCAAAAAAGGAAATTCGAGATCGAAAAGGAATTTGAGGTTTAGAATAAAATTGAGGACTGTGTTGTAAGTTTTAAAAGTTGGGGGACCTAAATGCAAGCGCCTGAAAAGTTCAGTGATCATATTGTAAACGTACTAACGGCAGTGTAACGACGTCAAACGATTAGTTACGTCGGGGGTCATATTGCAATCAAACTAAATGTTGGGGGACTGTATTGCAAACGAACTAAATATTAGGGGACTATATTGCAAATTTTAAAAGTTAAGGGACCTAAATGAAAGCTTTAAAAAAATTCAATGACCATTACTATACTTTACCCTTCTTAAAAAGTAAAAGGGTTCGAAACAGAAAATAAACAAATATGTTCATGCAGAAAAAATGATTAAAATGAAATGAGAAAATAAAAAACACTAAAATTTATGATTTAACCATTATAAACGTTAGGAAACAAATAAGGACTAACATGAATTAAATCAGAGTGAACATGTATAAAATGTTATTTATTCCTGATAATTAAAGCACAAAAAGTAACCAACATATAAACATAACAAAGTTCAAAGCTCGAACTCAAACATGCATAAATCCTATTTGTAGGTCAAAATGGGAGTTTACAAAGTACAGAGGTCCGAAATAGAATTAAACCAGGCAATAAAAGCGTGAATTTCCCCTCCCTAAAACGACGTCGTTTTATGTTACATATATATAACTAACACCCAAGCCTAAACCGGCCAAACCCTCTCATTTCCTCATTTTCTGCTTTCTCTCTTATTCTCTAGAGAGAGAAACTCTCTCAAAATCGCTCTCCCCAACCGTGGGAGATGAACCGACGAATCCCTCTGGCCACCAGAGATCGGTGGCCACGAGGAACCAAATTGGCCTAGAACCCCTCTCTTAACCTTCCCTCTCTTTAGCCTCTGCCACTCTCTAAGAAAACCTAAAAAACTGAACCCCAAAACCAAATACAAAAGGGACGAGACTTTTTACCTTCCTCTAGTGGGTTCCTTGGTCAGATGAACGATGGGTGACGAACGGGGTAAGGCTATTTTCGACCCCTTTCTTTTTGTTTGGTTTTTTTTGTGTTCGATCTGGTTCTCACTCTGATTTCTTTTTTTTTCTCTTCTTTTCCCTCTCGTTCGAAAATCTTCTCTCCTCTTTTAATCTGACTGTATATGATGGTTTATGGGTCCCTTCGGGTAGGAAAAATGTCCATAGGGAAATGATTTCCTTATTCTTCTCGGATTTGGTGGGATTTTTTTTCTTGATTAACTTGTCTGTTTTTTCTACTGTTGATTGATTTCCTATCACTGTAGGTTAAAACAGCATGACAGTGGCGGCGGTGCAGAGCCTATTTCGTATTGCTCGGTTGTGTACAAGACCATTACCAAGATAATGGTGTAGAGATTGGCTTTGGTTTTGCCGGATTTGATTTCCCTAAAGCAAACTGCATTTGTGAAGGGTTGAAGCATTATTGATAATACTTTGCTTGCCCAAAAATTAGTTAAAGGCTATGCTAGAAAGACCTTATACCCAAAGTATTTTCTCAAGGTGGACTTGCAAAAGGCTTTTGATTCGGTGAGTTGGGATTTTGTGTTGAGTATTCTAGATGTTGTTGGATTTCTTTATTTGTTTAAATAGTGGATTAGAGCCTGTTTTACTACTCCCAAATTTTCAATCTCGCTTAATGGTACCTTGGTGGGGTTCTTCAAGGGTGCTAGAGATCTAAGGCAAGGGGACCCTCTTTCCCCTTACCTTTTGTTTTGGCTATGAATATGAATATCCTATCTAGGCTCCTTGATAAAGCTGCTGAAAAGGGTTTGTTTAGATATCATCCTCGGTGTAAAAAAGGTTGGTTTAACGCATTTGTGTTTTGCGGATGGCCTATTAATATTTTGCAAAGGATTTTTGGACTCTATTGTGGGTGGTCGTTGTGTTCTAGAATAGTTTTATAAGTGGTCTAGCCTTAGACTCAATGCGGGGAAAAGTGAGCTTTTTGCTTCTGGGGTTAGTGATGCACGATTGGAGGCTATAAGGGATTTCTTGGGATTCTCTATTGGTAAACTCTCAGTTCTGTACCTTGGCTAACGTTTAGTAACTAGAAAATTGTCCGAGTGTGATTGTTTGGTTCTTGTTGAGAAGATTAAGTCTAGACTTGGTATGTGGTCTAGCAAATTGCTTAGTTATGCGGGAAGGCTCCAACTTATAAAGGTGATTCTGTTTAGCATTACAAATTATTGGTGTCGTTAACTGGTTTTGTCCTATTCCGTTATTGCTCTTATTGAGTAGCTTTGTACTCGTTTCTTTTGGAAGGGATGTGACACGACTGCTACGGGAGCTAAAGTAAGCTGGAAGAAAGTTTGTACCTTAAAGTCGGAGGGGCTCTCGGAGTGAAGAATATGTTTACTTGGATAAAAGCTTGCCTATTTTTGTTTATAAGGAATATTTTGATTGGGGAGGGATCCCTTTGGGTTGCTTGGTTGAAAGCTTATGTCCTCAAAAGGGTAGATTTTTGACAGGTGGAATGCAAGTTTAATGCTAGTTGGATTTTTATGACGTTGCTTGATCTTCGAGGGGAGGCTCGTCCTTTGTTTGCTGCAATGGACGTTCGTGCAATCAAATTAGCATGGATTTGGTCCTCTATATCGTGTGGTGGAGATAGGGTTGCTTGGAGCAAAATTATTTGGTTCCCCCTGTATGTTTCCAAATTTGCTATTATTTGTTGGATGGCAATCCTATGAAGGCTTCCAACGAGAGACAAGCTGCATCAGATGGGATTGGAGGTGGAGTCTCATCGTTGCATTTGTGGTGTTGGAGAAGAGAGCAGAGAGCATCCCTTTTTTGTTTGCCTATATTCCATGCGGGTCTGGACTATGGTTTTGAGTTGTTCCATTTTTAGACAAATTCTTAGTTGGGAAGAGGAGTTGGCTTGGGCCATTCGTTCCTTCAAAGGTAAATACTTTCTTACCTTCATTCTTAAGTTAGCTTGGAGTGCACATATATATTGTATATGGGAGGAAAAGAATTGTAGACATTTTAGGAATGTGTTTAGATATGAGGATGAGATTTTGGAGGTCATTAGGGATACAGTGCGTATTAAAATAGGAGGCAGGGTATTCAATCGGACTAATACTGTAAATGAGGACATTTGTGTAAGGTGAGGTATTATTTAAAGCTTATAGGCTTTTGTTGTGAGACTCTGGTTTGGTATTGCAGATTCCTGCTCCTTTGGATAATAAAATACAACTTATCCAAATATATATATATATATAACAATTTTGATTACAATTCAATCACGATCTTTCTATGATTCGATGATTGCGAGTGCTTATTAATATATATCTCATAATCTGAAATACACAGATTAACTGGACAACCAAATAAATGTTATTTGTGTCATCTAAATCTGAAGAGTCGACGTTAAATTTTAATCTTAAAATAATATATAGTATAATAGTAAATAAAATTATTCACTATTTTCATACAAAAATAATTGAAAAGTATAAAAATTTTAAAAAAATTAACGATGAATGGTAAGTTTAACATTAATGTCCTCACTGATGATATATTTTTTCACACAATACTTTTTAAGGTTAATATATTTTTTATTTAAATAGGAGAAGTTAAATCTCCTTTATTAATTTAGGGGGAAACTTATGAAAACTAAAGTGAATAAAAATGTAAAGATATAAAATATATATTATATAAAAAATTTATATTTAATTTATCAAGTGATTAATTTGAATTCAAATAATATAAAAAATTATTACGAAGATAATCTTTCTCGATCTAAATTATTTTATTTACAAACCCAAGGTTACAACCTGATATAAAAAATAAATCTACTCTTTCATCCCGTCAAATCAACCGGTAATTAGTATATAAAATAATATTTTTTATAAATAATTTAAAAATAATATTATAATTGTCAAGATATCTTCTATTCATTTTCATTGCTTAACCGAAAACAATTTTTAAAATTATTTATTATTATACTTTTAAGTATTCAAATAATATAATGCAATTTTTCATTTTTTAATATTTCCCTTCCATTTACTATTTCCAGTCCAAATATAATGCATGGTTAATGAAATTGAACCAGATCATCCGATTAAGAATCAATGATGTAAAATAAAAAATTATACCATTTAAAATAAAAAATTAAAAGTAAAAAAATGGATGGTTAAGCAGTGATGGTCAACTTTGCCTTAAAATAAAACAATAAATTAAAGACCTGAGCAAGATTTCGTGCGTGATCCCATGACTCGCGAAATCAATCCATCTACGTGCATGGCTCAATTTAAATAAATTTAAAAATATGATGACATCATAAACATAAATAAATTTAAAAATATGATGACATCATAAACATAAATAAATTTTATAAATTTTGATTTATATAAATTTATTTATTTTAAAATTTTAAAATCTTATTGAAAATGTATATATTTGTAATCATTTTAAGTTAATAAAAAGTTTATAATCTAGAATTTAGTATTAATATTTAGATTTTAAGATTCTAAGGTAGAATATTAAATTTTAACATTTATAATTATAAGAAAATGTATATATTTATATTCGACTTGAATGAACTCGACTCAAGCTCGAGCTCGGCTCGAATTTTTAACGAGCCGAACGAGCTACTTAATACTCGACTCATGAGTAGCTCGAAAATATAATATATTAAGATTTTATTTTTTTAAATGAATAATAATATTAACATTTATGTGTTGATTTTAAAAAAAATACAATATAAGGTTTTCATATATTAAGGTTCAGGTTTCAGTTCGAGGCTTTAATCAAGTTAAGTTTAAGATATTTTTTATTTCGAACATTTTCAAGCTTTTACAAGCTTCAGTTCATGATTTTGAGTTCGAGTCAAGTTTGAAAATTCTAGGCTCGCGAGTTTTCAAGTCGAGTCAAGCTCCATTTCAAAGTTTTCGAGTTAAGCTCATCAATACTCGAGCTTGACTCGGCGCGTTTACAGCCCTAGCTGCGGGTACGGTAGCACCCCTTAGAAATTTTAAATTCTCTTATATTTTAGATTTTTTATATGTTTTATTGATTATCTAATTTTGCACTCCCTAAAATTTTATAACTTTACACCCTTAAATTTTTAATATAATTTTTTAAGTTCACAGCTCCTAACATAAATTTCTACATCTTTCTCTGAATAGTACCCAACCAAATGGAAAAATATATATGATAAATTTTAGTTTATATAAGTATATCAAATCTACTAAGTGGCCTTAATGCTAAAAAGGATTGTTGTTCTCTTTAGAGATCTCTAGTTCAAATAGTTTCGTTTGTAGGGTGTATACGAGTTATCAATGGTTAAAAAGAATTTTGAGCAAACACTTTATAATCATAACATGTTATTTTTACAACTTATCTATTTTAATCATAAATCTTAAAGGCTAAAACTATAAAACATATTCTTAAATCCTAATGTCTAAAATAAATCATATACCTAAACACTAAATTTTAAACTCTAAAATCATTAATTTTTACTTAAAACCTAAATTATATAACCCTAAAACCTAAACTATAAATTATTATTATTTCTCGAAGATCCGGGTTCGAGCACCATAAATGTCGGGGTGTGAGCGTTCAGTGTGGAAAAGTTGAGAATTATATTGAAATAGATATTACATTGTACTTACCTCATCCGATTAATAAAAAAAATAAAAAACTAAAACTTTAAATCTTAAAAAAAAGAATGTATGACAATAAATTAAGTAGGTTATATGAAATAAATTATTGCATGTTGAAGACACCAAATTTCGTCCATTGATATTATATAATATATTACAAACTATATTATATAATATATATATACATTTGTTTAATTGGTTACATATTACAGGTCCAAGACCCAATAATGACAGAATATAATAAAACACTACACGAGCCCATCAGCATAGCACTCTAGAAACACGCGTCCCGGTCCACCAGGAGCAACCCGAGACCCGATCCAAGTATTCAACCCGAAGCTAGAGTTTCCAGAACCTAGCAAGCAAGCCTCCAGAGCCGCAACAAGGGAAATCTGTCCCAGCCGAGGACTCCATGCCACGCAACCGCGTTTCACGCCGATTCTCTCGGCACCAACGCTCACTCGTCAACAACCAACACCCACAAAGAGCAAGCAATGAACCAAGAGTCATATCCGGAATAAAACTCCTAAATATAGGATTTGTTTCTGCTATAAAATCATGTAACTTTAGGTACGAAACACAGACAATATTACACTGTTTTACACGAGATTACGCTAGCAAACAGAGAGAATATTACGAAATATCGAGAGACATACGAGGCAAATACAAATCGTATTGAAGCACTTTTGTAATCATTTCGAAAAAATAAAAGGTATTTTTGCTTACCTCGTGCGATTCTCGTTTTGATGCATTTCCTTGCTTTCAGTTTAAACAAACCCAAACGCCGATGATATAGGGGGAGAGACCGAGACCTTCGATCTCAGATCTACTCTCCCCCGAGGCACTTTTGAAAAACTAGTTTGGTATTCGAGTTGTGGGTGAAAAGAGGGTTTCAAAAATATAAACTTTTTTTATATTTTGCCACTGATGATCGGCGGCCAGTGCCGATCAAAGGCGGCCGACGAGGCGGCGCCACCGCATTTTTGGGCTTGCTGTGGTGGTGTTCTTCGAAAATGAAGAACACACAAGAAGGGTTTTAGAGAAAATGGGGTTTTGTTTTTGATCTTATAGAGGGGAGGAGAGAGTTATGAGAGTTGTTTGTGGTGTTTAGCATTTATATGACCCATGAGCCCGACCCGATGTCGGTCCCCCTTCGTTTTTAATGGTCTATTTTGACCCTCAAATCGAATTTTTCTTATGATTTTTCTTCGAAATTTGACACCCAACTTTATTATTCTTTCAACCTAGTCCCCACGTTTTTTATTTGTTTCTTATTTTTATTTATTTAAATATTATATTTTATTATTACATATATATATTATTTATTTATTTATATTATTCTTATATTATATTATATTATTTTTACTTTCTCTTTCTTTTTATTACCCTTGTATTATTACTTTTATTATTTTATATTATTTATTTTGTTATATATATATATATATGTATAGTTTTTAAAATATTTTATTTATATACCTATTATTAATATATATATTTTAATTATATTTATTTGGTTATTTTTTTATTGATATTATTGTTGTTATATATATATTTTATTACTATTATTATATATATTATCTACGCACATTTATTATATATACCTACTTTGGCCCCCTCCATTTTTTCTTCATATCATATTTCTCTCTCTGATCATGCATTTCTTTCTTTTCGGTGAATTGATAGGTTATGTTTGTTATTTTTTAACTTTATTTTATTATTTTTTCCTTCTTAGTATTTGTTTATTATTCTTTCATTATTGTTTTTTTTTTCACTTGTTTTATTTAATACTATATTATATGTATATATTATTTTTATTATTTTTCTTTTATTTATTATTATTATTTTTTTGTTTTATTTTGTTTATGTTTTTTATTTAATTCCAATTTTTTTCCTGGTTTTTTTATTCTTGTTTAATTTTTATTTATGTTAACATTTTGTTTATTTTGTTTTATTTTTATTTCTACTTATTTTATTATTATTTTTCTTCGTTTTTGTGTTTATTATTTTCATATGTGCGCACTTTCTGTCTTAACTCGATTCTATACTTCACTACAACTCTAACATTTTTAAGGGTGTTTCAATCGATCAGAGGTAAGTAACTTGGATCATATTTTACCTTTAAATTTAACTTTCAATTTTCTTAATTAAAGACAAATGGAAATTAAGTAGTACTGAAAGGGCAGTTCAAGGGTGCTAACCCTTCCTTGACTATAATCGACTCCTGAATCCGACATATCACTGGTAAAACGCAGATAATGTAAGAAATATATGTATATGATCAACCTATTTGTTTTAAAATAAATGATCGGTGGCGACTCCTAATACACTTAATCCAAGTCGAAGCCCAATTTTGAGCCCACCCGAAAGACGGTTCTGACAGCTTGGCAACTCCGCTGGGAACAGGTAAGTGAGTCAGGCTAAGGTAATTTCCAGTTATCTTTTTAACGAAAAGGGTAATTTTTTATTTAATACTATATTATATGTATATATTATTTTTATTATTTCTATTATTTTCTATTATTTATTATTATTATTA